TTAGGGTAAAATATCACAATGCCTCTAAAATAGCTAACACACCATTAGAGCTCTTCCATAATGTCAAAACGATAAACACAATGTAAAGTATGAAGACCACAATACCCCAAAAATAACTAACAAACTATTAGAGCTCTTCCATGAGGTTAAAATTGTAAACATAATGTGAAGAATGAAGTGAGAAAAAGGAACAAAATTGAGTGATGAGAGATATAAGAAGATGAGATGATTCAAGATTCATATTTAGCTATTAAAAAACTCCTTTTTACGTTTTTTTGTTAAAAAAAAACTTCTTTTAACAATTCAAATATCAAATTATAAAATGTAAGTTATTAAATAAAGAAAATAACTTTTATTAATTTTTTTATTTTAAATTACATAATAAAAAATAATTCCATTCATTAACCCACTACATCTATATTTGTATATTATACGATTTGAATATATAATCTATTATTTTTATTAAAAATAAATTATTACTAAATTATTTAAATTATTAATAACTTTTATTAATATAAAAAGACCTACTCACATTTATTTAATTTGTATTATCTAACTGTACAACATTTCTCTCGAAAAGTTAATCTCCTTTTGATTTATTCAATTAGTTGCTCTGCTGCCCACTTACAATGGTTGTTAATTGTTCCTCAATTGTTAACTCCTGCCGCAATTTTGAATTTCTTTTTACAAGTTCAAATTTAACGGAAAAATATTATTTGAATTCAGTGCCTAAGATTCGAGAGTGCATCTCTTACAAAAATTTATAATCAGTTAGTCTTTTAAGCTTGATGTCCAATTCTGACTTTGAATAAGTAATTCTGTTAGCACAATAATTTAAGCTAGTGGGGCTACGCTGTAACGTGCAACCTCATTCCACCCTTCAAGTCAACTGTTCTCGCTACGCTTGCGGACCATAATCAAGATGCTTTTTGAGCAGCTTCCTCACATGCCGCAAGGAAAATTCCAGGAAGGAGCAATTTGCATGTGAGAAAGAAATTCACAATTAAGAAATAATGATTTTTCGTTTGAGTTTGGCTACTTTATTGATTCACTTACTTCTATTACGTCAATATTAATCACTATTGTAGGAATTTTGGTTCTTATTTATAGTGACAATTATATGTCCCATGATCAAGGATATTTGAGATTTTTTGTTTATCTAAAAGTTTGTTCAATACTTCAATGTTAGGATTAGTTATTAGTTCAAATTTGATA